TATAATATTAATATACATATTAGCCTACTAGTACTTAACACACACACACACACACACACACACACACACACACACACACACACACACACACATATATATATATATATATATATATATATATATATATATATATATATATATATATATATATATATATATAATTATTAGCTATACTACACCGTTTAGATATAAAAGAGTAGCAGTAGTAGACTAGTTTAAATAGTTTTGGGTCACATAAAATAATATAATAGCCGTATAGTAAAAATATTTTATTTAACATAATATCTATTTTATAAAATTTTATTTAGAATAATAATATTTATAACAAAATACTCAAATAACCGGGGTATCACAACATTAGATTGGATGGAGGAGAGGTTGGATAAGGTGTTAGCTAGCGAGGGTTGGCGTAGTAGTATCACGGGTGCCAGTGTGCTTAACTTGCTGACACGCTCTTCGGATCACTCAGCTTTCTTCCTAGGGGTCTATGATTCGTGAGGGAGTGGTGGCAGAATAAAAAGGGGCTTCAAGTTTGAGATGGCCTGGGTGCATGATGAGGTATGTAGAGATGTTGTGGAAAAGGCTTGGGTAGATGGCAATGATGGTGGTCTTTTGGGTTGTTTGCAGCTTTGTGGTGACCACTTGACTCGTTGGTGGGGGGGGGGGGCGTGATCACTTTCATAAGTTTGGTGAGCAGATCAGAAACCTACGTAAAGAGCAGGCCTTTCTCAATGGACGTACGAACACGGTCTCTTTGGCCGAATATCAACTTGTTGAGGAGCAGTTGTGCCAGCTTAAAGCCCAGGAGGATGCTTATTGGAGACAAAGAGCCAAGCAGCACTGGCTTAAGGGTGCGGATTCCAACACTATGTTTTTTCACAGGTAGGTCTTTAACCGTAGGAAGAAAAAATGTCTTACTAGAGTTAAAGAATGATTCTGGGGATTGGGTGGAGGGAGATGCGATGAAGTATGTTATCTTGAATTATTTTGATGGTATTTTCCACTCTGCTAGTCCCCCTTCTGGGATGGGTTCTTTAATTCTGTTGTGCCCCGTGTAACTCAAAGCCATAATGATGACCTTCTTTGCCCTTTCGTGGTGGAGGAAGTTAAAGCCGCCCTATTTTCAGTGTTTCCTGATAACGCACCTGGCTTGGATGGAATGAATCCAGGTTTCTATCAACACTTTTGGGATGTGGTTGGGGGTGATGTCTCGACCTTTGTGATTAACTATCTAAATACGTGTTCCTTCCCGGAGGGGTTGAATGATATAAATGTGGTCCTTATCCCTAAGAAGAATGTCCCTGAGTCATTTTTTATCTTAGGCCAATTGCCCTGTGCAACATTATTTATAAAATTATGACCAAGATTATAGCAAATAGAATGAAGCCACTTATGGATCAGGTGATCTCGGAGTCTCAGAGTGCTTTTATTCCAGAGACTCATCACTGATAATATCTTGCTAGCTTTCGAGGTTGGGCATTACTTGAATAGAAAATAGTGTGGTGTGTAAGGGTGGGGGGCTCTCAAATTGGATATGGCAAAGGCCTATGACCGCATGGAGTGGTCTTTCCTTCGTAGGATGCTGGTGGCGATGGGGTTTGACGATAAGTGGGTGAAGCTTGTTATGTATTGTGTTACTTCTTATCTTATAGCTTCTTGGTTAATGGGGCGAGGAGTGGCCATTTGGTGCCTATTAGAGGTCTAGACAGAGAGATCCACTGTCTCCTTATCTGTGTAGAGGTACTCTCTTTACGTTTATCGCAGGCTCAAGTTGAAGGTTCTATTCATGGCTGCAGGGTTTCCAGAGGGGCGCCCCCTATTACTCATTTATTTTTTGCTAATGATAGTCTACTATTTTATAAAGCTAATACGCAGGAGGCTGGGGTAGTGAAGCATTGTCTATCGGTGTATGAGAATCTCTCTAGTCAGGCAGTCAACTTTCATAAATCTAGTATATGTTTTAGTAGGAACACAACATATGTGGACAAGCAGGAAGTGGCACAGGTTTTGGGGGTTACCCAGGCTCCAAACTTTGGTAAATATTTGGAGTTGCCTTTATTTGTTGGAAGACACAAGAAAGTTGTGTTCTCTTATATTGAGGACAAGATAAGATAACAGATAAGTACATGGAGCAAGAAGCTTCTCTCGCAGGCTGGTAAGGAAATTCTCTTAAAAAGTGTGGCTCAATCTATGCCAACTTTTTCAATGAGTGTCTTCTTGCTTGCTGAATCAGTGTGTTTGTTAATAGAGAGAGTAATGAATCGTTTTTTGTGGGGGTCATGTAAAGATAGAGGGATACACTAGAAAGCATGGGACATGTTGTGTGTGCCCAAGAAGTTTGGGAGCCTGGGGTTTAAGGAACTTTGTGCTTTCAATTTGGCTATGTTGGAGATGCAGGCTTGGCGGCTTCTGACGAAACCTAATTCATTAGTGGCAAAGGTCTACAAAGCCAGGTATTATCCTAAGTGTGATTTTGTTGATGCTACCTTCGGAAGTTTCCCAAGCTATTATTGGCGCAACATCCTGGCAGCTCAGGATATGGTTTGTAGTGGTATTAGACGGAGGGTTGGGAATGGTGAGTCAACTTTGATTTGGGAACACCCTTAGATACCAGATGAGCATGATCCGATGGTGCACACTACTATGCCGCCTGAGTTGTGTGGATCAAGGGCCTCGGGTTTGATTGATCAAACAACAGGTACCTGGGATCACTCTATTCTTTTGGATGTTTTGGATCCTAATGATGTGGCCCGTATCACTAATATTCCTATAAGTTCCAACTATGAGGATTCATGGTATTGGCCGGGGATCCTAAAGGGTGCTACACTGTCAAGAGCAGTTATAGGCTCATTGTTGGAAATTTTGTTGCCGGGGATCCTAAAGGGCACTACACTGTCAAGAGCAGTTATAGGCTCATTGTTGGAAATTTTGTTGAGAATACGGGAGACTTTACTAAATGGGTTTCTTTGTGGAAAATTAAGATCCCCTAAGTGGAAAGTTTTCTTGTGGAGGGCACTAAATAATGTTCTTCCTACTACCACCAACCTGATTTTAAAAAGAGTTGAAGTGGATCCTACATGCTCTATGTATGGTCTTGTTCATGAAGATGTCATGCATGCTTTAGTTTTGTGTGACTTTGCTCAAGCTGTTTGGCGTGAAACACATGTTCCTATCCATAATATTGTTGCAAACAACTTTTATTTGTGGTTTACTAGTATCATGGACATCTTACCTGGTGATGATCTTATGTTTACAGTAGCTATTCTATATCATATTTGAAGGGGAAGGAATACGGCTGTTTGGGAGGCCTTCTTGCCGCTGCCAAGAAAGGTGATTTTGATGGCCAAAGCTATGTTGAATGCTTGGCAACAGGTCCATACGCAACACAACTCTCCACCCAGCCAAATGGTCACCAACTCACCTGCTCACAGCCAAATCTTCTTTGTTAGTAGTTTTGTCCCTAGATCAGCTAATTTAATAGCTCATACTCTTGTTTTTTAGGCCTACTCACAGGCTAACACTATGTACTGAGATTCTAATCCACTGACTTTATTTCGATCTTTCTTTAATGCATCATAATCTTTTTTGCCTTAAAAATATATATATATAAAATTATTTAAAAAATAATTTTAAATAAAATATATTTAAAAAAAAAAAAAAAAAAAAAACCACCCCTCCCCAGTCCCCACCTTCATCTACCACGGTATGCGAAGACCATCTCTTCGTGGAGTTTTCCCCTTTCCCTCCTCAGTTCTCAGCTCCCTATCTAGAAGGGCTGAATAATTCAAATGCAACACTAAACTTTACTTATTCTGTTTATTATATCATTCCCCTTTCAATATTCCAAATTTTCAAATAATAAATATATTCTCACAAAGTTAAAATATCTAACTTTTTTAAAATTACACTACTTTTTTTTAGTTAAGAGGAGAAAGCCCAAGCACTAATAGTGTCCTCGGTGAACTATGCGCATTTTCAAAATACCCATGTGATCTTCTGCAAGAGTGCCAAGAATTCTCATGGGAGTTCTCAAATGTAGCTTCGTCGGTCCGCCACGAGTAGTCATCTTAGCAAGGTGACCCGCAACAAGGCGTTGTTCCTTGAACACATGACAGATTTTGTTCTCCCAAGCCATCTTAGCATAAGCTAGAGCTAATAGTACGACGGTACGAGTACAATAAAAATAATATACATAATTGCACTCGATACTATCAACACCAGTACTAATACACATGTCCTTAAGTTTTTGGCTATATATTAATTTCTATTTCATCTATAGCTATTGTTCATGCTCATATTTCAATTTTCATCTTTAAACTTTTATTTAGATTTTTTCATACTTCTTGAGTAATTGTTATTTTCATCCTAGTTCTTGGACAATACCTTCTACCATTATTTTGTCACACCAAAGACGTATTAATTAGTTGCAACCCTCTACATCTACATTTCGAATTTTCGAACTAAAATTTTGAAGATTTTCAGACATTTTACACGTACTCATTTTGCACCGTTGAAATGCAACAATCTATCTTTGAGCTCCAAAGAACTGCTTCAATGGATATTACAATGCAAACATACAACCGAAAGTAGAGAGAAGCCAAAAAATATTGATTAAAAATTAAGAACATATGTCTAATTGAAAATTAAAAAATTCAACTTTTTTATATTTAGATGTTTCAAAAAGACAAATATACCTTTATTTGTTATAACTTTTAAAATTTATCAGATTCGTATAACATAGTATGGAAAGAATGATAAGAAGGAAAAGAGTTACCTAGTATAAGTTAAGAACAAAATACAAGCTACGAAAATAACAATTATCTAAAAAGTTGGGTACAAAAAATTGTTGTGATATGATAATTCGCATTGAGGGTGGAGTTAAGACTTCAACTTATAAATAGGAACATAATTTCATTAAAAATCATTGTAATCTTTATCCAAAAGATGTCCACCATTAGTAATCACCTAATTGAAAATGTTAATAGTAATTAAATTGCTTAAACCTTAATTGTGTTTGTGTATTACCAGAAAGGTGTCCATTGCCAACAAATTTCAGACCCAAACTCATATTCCATCTCTGTGAGAGGAAAGCAAAATGGACCTTGCTCTCAAACTTCCTTGTATGTGCATATATTCGACTGTGTATACAAACGCGGAAGTGGATACAGATGGAGAATAGCCGCCTTCCCCCGCCTGAAATTTCTTTTTGACTGACTAGAAATAGGAATAGGAGAATCAAGATCCCCAGTGCTATCTATCTCTCAAACGCATCTTTCCCAAATCGGGGAAAACCCAGAACAATTGCACCAAGATTTCATTTCTTTCCGCATTGGGTTCGTGGAAATGGTGGAGGGGAATGGCGATTTTGGGTCGTCGAATTGGTGGGCTAGTTTCCACCGAGATATCTTGGCGGGGGCTTTGATGGGGGGCGTGGTGCACACTATTGTGGCGCCCATAGAAAGGGCCAAGCTATTGTTGCAGACCCAGGAGAGTAACATAGCAATCATGGGTGGACCTCACAGGAAGTTCAAGGGCATGCTGGATTGTATGGTGAGGACCGTTAGGGAAGAAGGGTTTCTTTCATTGTGGAGAGGAAACGGTAGCAGCGTTATCAGATATTACCCTTCTGTAGCTCTCAATTTCTCCCTTAAGGTACACTCCCTTGATAATCATTGAAGTCCTGTATTTCTTTTAATAAGAAATGGGTGAGTTTCTGTTACAAAGTATGGGGTTGTTTAAATGCAAAAAGCTATAACTAGAATGGGGTGGATTTTGATGGTAATAGCTATTACATATTGATTTATGTATGTATATGTCAAAATTGGTAATAGGTGGTGTATTATAGTCTCCTAAGTTTTGGTTGGAACTGAGCAACTGAGTCATATTGCTGGATAGGCTCTAGGGCGTTTGCATTGTTTAGATTGAGAAATATAAGTTGGTTAGACAACAAGCTCCTTGAATCAGGTGATAGTTAACGGTTAGCATAATTCTTGTTTGGTTAGAACTTGGAAATGTTGTCTCTAAGCCACCTCTGTTCATCGAGCATTGTGATGTTAAAAATCACTGAATCACGGAAACGTTTTGCAATTCTTACATTGGGGCAAGGTGGACTTAGTTTTTGAGTCTCTTCACATTCCAGGAATGTCTTCTTTTTATCCATTTTTGTTGAATATGGCTTGTTGGATTAGAAGGTTTACAAGTCATAGTTTGACTGACTTGTAAATGGTGTGAATATTTGATTTTTTAATGATATTATAGTTGTTGAAAGACAAAATAGATTGATTAATCGGGGTTGAGATTTTGGTGGCTAGTTTTTTAACCGGTGTGATTGTAAGAAAATCATAATAGTAATAAAGACAATGATAAAGTAATTTTTTACATGGAAACCCAATGCAGGGGAAAATCCACAGGCGGGATAGCCTGCAAATCGTGTCATTTTCTCCAACATTGTCTAGCATTTGCTAATGTCTGGTTAATGCACCTCTCTTTTAAGTTATACTGTAAATAGTTGCTGTTATTCCTTCTTTCTATAGCTATTTATCGGATAGAATTAGAGTAAAATGTCTTTGTACACACACGCTTTGGCACATATCAAATGACATACACATAGTGTTTTGGTCTGACCACAGCTGTCCTCAGCGAATCGGCTAGCGACCACACACCGAGACTAATGTTATTCGTGTCGGGTAAGACTTCCTGGGTGGCAAAGCACTCCCTCATAGGTTTTAAGGTAGTTGCATTCCCAAGGCTCGAACCCGTCTCTTGTTAAGCTGTAAGAGACCTACGCCATCTCATCCACACCCCATGGGTAATGTAGATGTATAGTTGGAGAGTAATTAACCTTGAAAAGTTGAGAACACCGATATACTTTATGAAAAATGACTTTTGAAGGTTCTCTCTCTTTTTTTTTTTTTTTTTTTTTTTTTAAGTTGGACCATAAGGTGTCCTGAGTAGGCCCCAACTATAGGAGACACCTTTAAGCCCATACCATACTCATACTAATACCTGTTCGCACTGGGCCATCCCAATTAAGGGGCAAAGGGGTTTTGATCTTTCGACATCTATTAAGGAATGAGAGTGCATGGTCACTCAAGCCAACCAAGCTGGTTAGAAGGTACTATTTTAGAACCAGGGAAATTTGGATGTATTATGAAATGAATTTATGATGGAATATCTTTTATTATACTAGTGTAATGAATTGGAGTTACTATATGATCATCTGCATGAAACAACAGCACGCGTCTAAGAAGTATCTCGTCTTTTAACAAGTTCACTGGGCTGGACTCTAGCTAAATCACTGTCTTTTGTATGATTTAAGCATTGAAGTTGTCTGGTATTCCATAAAAAATTCAATAATACATTAGGGATTGAAGTTGCTTGAATATTGGTAGGCTCTGAAACTCCAGCATGCAGTTTGGGATTTTTTTTATTTTTATTTTTTTTCTCTCTTTTGGTTCCATGCAATCACCATCTGGAAAAAACAAAAATAGAAAGGGAAAACTAGTAAATCAAAGCATCTTAAGTGTTTAACACAATAACACTCATCAGTCCACTCACGTGTGCATTCCATGACAAATATCTTGGCTCCATCTTTTGTTTTGTCTTGTTTTTCGTTGATATGTTCATTTCACATTTATGCACAATTTGATATGTTTAAAGCAAAGCTATATTTTTTCTGGTCAGGCCATGAGGTGTCCTGAGCAGGCCCTAACTGTAGGAGGCATCTTTAAGCCCGTACCATACTCAGACTAATCCCCATTCGCACCGAGCCGGCCCAATTAAGGGGCAAACTGTTGGCCAAATTGGTTTTTCATACGAGAGGGGGTTTGAACTCCCGACTTCTCTTAAGGGATGAGAGTGCAAAGCCAACAAACCTAATTCACCTTCTAGACGTAATACTTTGTTTCTACTCTGTACCACTTGAACTGCTTACTAATTGACCTTAGCAGGTATTAACCTAAGCCCACAAGCAGCCTTCAGTTTACCCTTTTTTTTCATCTCATCCTGTGTTATATCTCTATAGTGAATATGTTAGAGTTAAATATTTGGACAATACAGTCTAGGAAGAGCATAGCTTTGACCAATGTTGTAAAAATCGCTACACATTTGGTGGATGCCTAACGCCTAGGTGCCCAACTTTAATAAAACCTTTCTTTTAAAAAAAAAATTTTTGCACATGGCATCTTGGGTTTTTTAGTGGACTCAAATTTTCTCGGAGTTCTCAGTTACTTTGGTGGCAAATGATCAGTGTTGAATGTCTTAGATGTTCCCTTAGAGATTAGGGTAAGTCCTAAAAGTAATTTATGTTGTTTGTTGTTTGGTTTTGGGATGGATGTTTATGGGAGCTATTTTCATAAGCACATGTGGTTTTGGCAATGAAAAGTAATGAATGGCTTCTTTTTTGCAGGACCTCTATAGGAACATCTTACATAGCAACTTTAAGGAAGGCCACTTCTTGGCTGGTCCGTCTGCTAATTTCATCGCGGGGGCTGGAGCTGGATGTACAACATTGGTAATCATCTACCCGCTTGATATTGCGCATACACGGCTTGCTGCGGACCTCGGGAGAACCGATGCTCGCCAATTCCGGGGCATCTGCCATTTCCTGAGAACTATCCATGAGAAAGAAGGAAATCGGGGGATATACCGGGGACTCCCTGCTTCTCTTCAAGGGATGATCGTTCACCGAGGCCTCTACTTTGGCGGTTTCGATACCATAAAAGACATGATGTCCGAGAAATCTAAACCAGACGTGGCTTTATGGAAGCGCTGGTTGGTGGCTCAGGGGGTCACGACATCTGCCGGGCTGCTGTCCTATCCCCTGGACACAGTTCGGAGGCGGATGATGATGCAGTCTGGATTAGAAAAGCCGATGTACAGAAATACGTTCGATTGCTGGAAGAAGATTTACAAGACCGAGGGAGCTGCTTCTTTTTACCGCGGAGCTCTGTCAAATATCTTCAGGAGCACCGGGGCTGCCGCCGTCCTAGTTTTGTACGACGAGATCAAGAAGTTCATGAATTGGACCGGGTTGTAGCGGGACATGTGCCCAACCTCACCATTTGTTCATCTAAAAAAAAAAAAGAGGATTAGAATAGACTGTGAAGCACTGATTTTGCAGAAGTTATTAGGTGACTACACTTTCTGGGACATGATACAGTTGATAGATAAAACACAAACCACACTGCTCTTTGAGGGAGGTAGATCATACCAAATCTACAGATTTGTTTTTTCTTTTCTTTTTTAGATTTCTAAAAACACTTTGCAGTTCCAATCTGTCTCCAACTCCATTGATGTTGTGGAAGGGCCAGAAAAGATTTGAGAATAAGGAATCATTCAACTTTATCATTCCTTACAGTTTGTGTTTTTACACTCTCATCTGTTGTTGGCTGCAATGTACCAGAGAAATGTTCCACTGTTGTAAGTAAAGCTATATATATATATATATATATATATATATATATATATATATATATATATATATATATATTCATCATTTTATTAAAGAAAAGGGGTATCATTGCCAGCACATTTGACCTTAGCTTGTGATTCCTAGTGATTCTCTTAGCATTTGACTAGGGAATCCACAGAATTAAAGTTGCATTTTACTTTATCCAAGTTGCATCATCTACAGGGTTGAGCTACCACTCCTCAAAATGACAAATTCAGACCCCAAAAAAAAATTAATAAAATAAAATAAAATAAAAAACATTTTCAGTCTCTCAATTGTTCCTAGTTAGCTATTTTAATCCCTAACTTTTTGTCATTACAATATATATATCTCTAACTCCTCAAAAAAGTTACTACTTTAACTCCTAAAACAACAAAATTATTAGACTATATTAAATTTCACTTAGTATATGAGTATTTTTTAGTATTTTGTAATGTTTCTTTTTTAATTATAATATTCTTTAGTCTCGATATTTCATTTGTAAATTTTTTTTTTTTTAAACGTGATTTTAACAAGACCATGTAGAAAAAATAAGGACGATGTACCACAATTGAAGAGGAAAAATTGAAGGAAGAATATTGACTCTTTATTTTACATATAAAATACCAAACCTAAAAACGTTATAAACAATAAAGATAACAAACTTTTAAAATACCCATGTATTAAATAAAATGTTACTCCTTTCAAAAAATAAAAAAATAAAATGTTACTATGTCAAAGGCCTTGTGGTCGAGTGACATAGTTGTGGACCCTCAAATGAGAGGTCTCATGTTTGAACACCAGTGTGAGGGCATTGACGACTCCTTGTGCTTTTAGTAGGTTGACAAAGTATGTTTGAACTAAAACTTTTTTAAGAGTTAGGGGATATATTGCAACGAGAGTTAATACCCGATTCAGTCTCTCTACAATTAGGATTTCACCACTTTGATCTTCGACTTTCAAACTTGTTCAATTTCATCATCAATTATGCAATTTTTACCTAAAATAGTCCTTTGTGCAAGTTTGGAAGTCGACTGACCAACATATAAAATCACAAAGAATTAAATTTAGAATCTTGTAATTACATACAGGGACAGAGCCAGAAAATTATTCGAGTGTGGCGAAGTTTAAATGACGTTAGAAATGTCAATTACAAAATATCAAAAAGTCATAATAAAGTTAAAATGCAAAATATATTATAAATTATAATAGAATATTTTGGATAGATTACACGATAGTTAGAGTCGGAGCCAAAAATATCAATTAGATAAAATAATTTGAATAACATTATATTCATAAATACTTTTTAATTTTAATTTGTTTAGTTAGATCAACTTCAAGTTTTTCTACATTAATTTAAATACAATGAAGTATACTATAAACTTGTATATTACATTAATTAAATGATTCATAAAAAAGTAGGCTAAAAGAACTTTTAATTTGTTAATTAAATGGTTCATAAAAGTAGACTAAAAAATATAAACTTGGCTAAAAATTATAAACTAGTGAAAATAAGAAAATATGTTATTAATGAGATTTGAACCTATAACCATGACCATACACTTTTTTTAAAGTGAAATTTAAAGTTCAACCAACTAAGCTACTCAAACCATTAACAAATTAGACATAAATATAGATTTTATCTAATATTGAATGCTATACATGTGTGTGTGTATATATATATATATATATATATATATATATATATATATATATATATATAAAGGGTGGGGTGGGGTTGGGTGGGGTGGGGGAGCAGGGGCAGCTGCCCCCATACTAGCTCCGTCTCTAGTTACATAGACAACTGTCCAGCCAACTTAGTTAAGGGTTAGCATTTTTCAATCAAATAGAAGATTAGCAAATTTATTTCCCTTTTGAAAGTGAGAAGTATTTGTATGAAATCATTTCTCGCTGCTTAACTTTTTACGATGAAAATTTCACTTATTATCCCTCACCATCTCTTAAATAACTTGAACACTCACATTCACAAACTCAAGCTCTCTCTTTTTAACCAATCTAAGATAATATCACTGACATCCCATAATTATATCGTAAAACTATCAGTAATCATTATTTTTATCATAAAACCAACTAGGCCACTCACTTACCCTGAAAACCCTGTATCGATCAACGCCCTGCCCCTTCCACTACCACTACTTAGCTCATCAGTCCTTACATTCGTAACCCCAATCATATTCAATTTAAACCAACTAACTTACCCAATACAACTCATAATAATTTGTTACCTAATTTTTTCTTCAAGGGTTTTAACTCACTAAAGACTTGTCTATTTGTCAACCATAATGAAGTGTGCCTCCAAGTGTGCTAAAAAAAAAAAAAAAAAAAAAAAAAAAAAAAAAAAAAAAAAAGACATAAAATATATGACATGGAGGAGCATGCATGATTGGGTGCAAAGTTTGTGGGGGAGGTGCCAACTAGGGATCATCACTAAACACTATCCATCACTTCCAACTCGTTATAAACAATATTATATGATGAAAACCAGAGGCAGTGACTGGCCAATTAGGTAAAGAATGGAGGGAACAATTATAACTAAAAAAGTGGAAGCCCCACAAAGAAGCCAAAGCATATGTACACATGGAGATGAAGTCACCCCAAATTTCTTTACAACTACATATTTAACAAAATCACACTTTCAGTCCCTTAATTATTCTCGTTTTAAAATTGATTCTCGATTGTCAATTTAAATAAATTTAACCCCTCAATTGTCCACAATTTTGCATATTCAATCCCAACATTATATAATTGAGAGGAAGAGACTCATGCATCCTTAACCAAAGGTTAATGATTCAATCATTGGCTTTGGGTATGGAGCAGGCTTAAATCTCCAGACCAACTGTCCCACCCAAAAGATGTGTTTATAATTCAGCAAGGGAATTAGTCATTGTGTTCAACAGTAAAAAATCTGGGTACACCCAAAAAGAAAACATTATATACAATTGAAAGACTGAATTTACAATATCATGGACAATTGAGGAAGTGAATTTGTTCAAACTGACAAATATATAGATACTAGATTTTTTTTTAAAAAAAATAAATAAAAAAATAAGGATGGAAAGTGTTAATGACCCATAGAAAAAAAAAAAAAAACAAATATTTATTATAAAGAAGCTTTTGTGTAACTTTACACTATAGAAGGCTTTGTGGTGGGGTACACATGCAACACTTGTATACCAATCTTAGAGCATCCACATCAGTGGTTATTGTGGAGTTATTGTCAGATGAATTATCTTGGGTGGGGTTAATAACAAATGTGGGGTGGGGTTATTTTAGAAGATATTTGCTCTGCAAATATGGAGATAATGTCAGTAAAAATAAAAAAGTAAAAAGAAGAAGTTAACATTGGCTGTGCGCGTTTTGCGCACAGCCCATGCTACACGGGCGCGTGCAGTGCACGCGCCCGTGTGGCGCGTCAGGCGCGCTGACCAGCGCGCCTGACGCAACTGCTTTTTATTTTTATTTATTTTTTTTTAATTTTTGTTATTTTTTTTTCTTTTTTGTTTTTCTCCCTTTCCTCTTTCTCTCTCCTAATCACTCTTACATTATCCCACAATTCTCCCCAACCATTATGGATGCTCTTAGAGAGATTACTTTCAACTCCCATTTTTCTTTTATTGGGGAAAAAGAAAAAGAAAAAGAAAGATAGATTTTTGTGAAAATTATTTATGCATTAGACTATTCACTTTGAATGATTGATGGTTGAATAATTATGCTATTGTGGGTTGCTTTTAGAAAGATTCAAGTTAGATTCCTTTGTGTTTTGTCTGTTAAAAGATTCCAAAGATGGGGTATTACAATTGCACCAATTGATGCCTGCCACATGTACTCCATTTAGGGTGATTCACATTCATGCTTACATAAGCAATTCTTGATTATTTTGGTGTTTCTTTCTCTTTTTTCTTTTTTTGGGCATTTTCATGCATTGTCTCAATGTACGACTCGATTTATGCTCCAGCATTTCAACAATCCAAACAAAAAAAAAAGTAAATTATTGAAACAATCCCTTTAATAATTTCACCATTTTGATTCTCAACTTTATTTATTATTATTATTTTTTTTTAATGACTAGTGAAACTGTAGTCACTAGTTCATTACTCGATGATGTACACTGAGTAGACACTGTCTTGCGACCTAGTCAGCAAAGGACCACAAAATAAATCAACATAAGTTGCCCATAACTAATTGATTCAAATAAAAAATGCCAATAGGCCGTTCCCTCAACTTTTACTTTTGTCTAATAATAATATTCTTATATATCAAATTTGTATATGTTTTACACATCCAATTATCTAAATGATAAAAATACGAGTTTAATTAAAAAAAAGTCCCATAATTATTGACATTTTTCAATTTTTATCATTGACTTTCAATTCAATCATAATTGGTCCTCAGACTATTATTATACTTTTTTCTAAATTTTGTCATTTGTTAAAAAATACATTTAGGAGGTGTTCAAAGGAGGGCAAAAGTGTAAAATTTAGTATTTTGTGGCTTCCTTCTCCCTAGTCATTTCTATATAAACTTATAATGCCATAAAGGCAAAGACATGTGCTTCAGGATTTTTTTAATTTTTTAATTTTTTTTTTAAATTGCAATGAACCTATACACATTCAATGATTTATAATGCATTTCACCAATTGACTTATACACATACTACATGTGAAAAAAAAAATGCACGAAAATCTAAATTTTAGACTTTTGGTATTTCAAATGAATTTTCAATAGAAGATCAAATTTAGAACAAAAATGATACTTCAAATGTCAATTATATCAATATAAATAAATTTTTTTTAAAAGATTAATAATCGAGAGATCATTTATGGAGTTAACTCTTGAAATAGGTATAAATTTGGTCAAAACAATACCCTAGAAAACTAAAATAGGTACAGTTTTGATAGTTAAAACA